CTGACTAAACATCGTGATGCACTGTGGCGGTAGCTCGAAACTGTCAATGGGCGGATGGTTGATGCATGATAGGAGTTGGGTGTGCTTCGGTGCAATGTAAGAACCCAAAGTCTCCTCTGCAACATAAGTAGCTTCGCCCTCAGTATGCTGATCGTAGAGCAGATTCATGCGCTCTTGGTTCATGTGGTGCTCCTCATCATGAACCGCACGCTCTTGTTGATGGTCGTGCGAACTGCTTGACCTCGACATAGCTTCTCTTCTCTGCTGATTTCGGATGTCCCTCAAAGTACGCTCAATCTCCGGATCGTAAACTAGGTATTCTTTCCGAGTAAAGCTCCTTGTCATGCACTAGAACCCTGCAAATCGCAAAGAAAAAGAAAAACTCAACCAAGTGAATCCGCAAAAACCAAAGAAAGAAAAACAAAAAGAAAAAGAAAAAGAAAACAAGCTAAGATCTAGAATCAATAAAGACCTAGAAATAGGCTAACCAGTCCCCGCCAACGGCGCCAAAAACTTGATACGCGTGTACCGAGTCTAGAATTTATAACCCGATTCACAACTCACCGCAAGGATACGGATCGTCGTAACACGGGGTCGAACACGAGAACCGGTAGCTAAATCTAAGTCTAATCAAAACCAAATTGAAGCCAGCAAGTGGAAGTGATGGTGGAAATAAGTGGAATCAATGGAAAATAAAATAAGAAAGCAAATAAAAACGAGTAACCTATCAAACAAGGATGACTACGGGTGTCGGGACCGTATTCGCGTGTATGGGTATATGCTAAGCATGCATGAATAACGATTATGACTTGTATTCGGGAATCATCAAGCAACAATGATAGAGAATTCACCTCTCGGTCTACTAACTCACTATCTACAGAGTAACTCGTCAATCTCTCGATCTATTCAAGTTAACCCTAGGTGCATAAAGAACGCTATCATCAACCCTAGATCGATTAAACCATATCTCTATGTGAATAATACGATCTATCCTATTGATTTTGATCCGAAACAAACCCATATCTCTATGTGGTTCAGAATCCAAGATAATTGATCAAGGGGTTAGCAAACATCAATCCAATAAAAGTGCAAATCAATAGAACCGAATCAAATCAAAACCGAAATCCAAGTTAGGGTTCAAACATACCCAAAACACAAATGAATCCCTAACCCATAGTCATGGATCTACTCAAGGTTCATGGAAAATAATAGAAAGAACAGAGAAAAAGAGATAAAAGAAGGGATAGAAAAGCTCATGTTGATGTCTAGTCTTCACGATCGAATCCTCCTTCTTCTTCCCGAAATCCCGTGAACTTCTATTCTTCTCTCCCCAAAAGCTCTGCAAAAATCTGTATCTAGGTGTTCTCTAAGGTTCTCCCATGTTCTAGGACGTGGCTAGGGCTTTTTTATAACCCTAGGGCGGCTCCCAAGAGTCCTATTCCCATTCAGATGCTGAAAATCGCGAAACAGGGTTTTAGACTGGATCCGGACCGATTCCAGGTGGATCCAGACCGGATCCAGATTCCTGGGGTCGAATTCTGCGTCCTTGATCCGGACCGGATCCAGTTGGATCCGGTCCTGCGCTGGCAGTTTTCTGGTCTTCACGATTTCGTTCATAACTTCCTGCTCCGGTATCAGATTTACGCGATTTTGGTGTCTACGCGAAGCTCTTGAAGTGCTCTTTCCAATGGTATATGTCTCGCACGATTTAGACCTCTGTAGAGAAAGTTATTGATGTCGCAACATGAGTATCTCATCCGGACTTCTCCTTTAACGCTCCAAATGGCTCCTTTTCGAGTCCAATCATCTTCGAAACCTGTAATCTGCAAAACTAAAGCACAACCGGGTTTTTGTGTACTAACACGTCTAGAATGTCCATGAATGAATGTGATTATCCCGTAAAACCTAGGCAAACTCTTATCAAAATATAGAGAAGAATAGGAGTTATCAGATTGTCACATGGACAGAGTCATGACTTGAATCTCATACATCGGTTCGTTCTTGGATCCTCATACCTGAGATGTCTAGAGTATCTGATATGAGGAGTGGCGTGTCTTGACTGCGTCAAACATCGTCTTTAACCGGATGATTATAACGGCGTTGATAAGATACGTTCGTGAATCATATGGAGATAGTAGACATGCAATATGGGACTTGTCACCTCCTTAACAAGAGAGATATCGTTGGGCCCTCTCGTGGAAATCGGACTATGAAAACGCGTGGCCACGCTATAGATGAAGTTGCATCTATTTTATTAGTTGATTTGCCAAGACGAGAAAGCAGTTGAACTTGAAGGGTGGCTCAAGCCATGCCCTTGTTCAACATATGATATCGTGAGATAAAGGATCAGAACTCGAGCTGTTATTGCCTTGGTTAGATCACCTCTGACTCAATTCAACGTGGGTGGTCATGGCGTCTTGCTAGAGGCTAACCATGACTTGTAGATCGGGAATGGTTCTCGAGGCTGCTGCCACTGCGAATGGGCCTACAGGGTCACACACCATTAGGGATGGACTTATATGTGAAGTTTCGGAAAGGAAGACTTGGATTTGGTCGGAAAAATCGTTTTCGGATCAAATCAGAGTGTCGGGATGTTTTCAGCCTTCTGACTCGGACCGAGTCAATATTTGACTCGGACCGAGTCAGTTCCCTGCGAGTCGAAACCCAGAAAGTGTTTTGGGCTTGGCTGATGTTTTGACTCGGTCGAGTCAAAGTTTTGACTCAGACCAAGTCAATGCTAAATGGGCCGGGTCAAGAGTTGACAATGGGCTTGGACTGATTCGTTCTGACTCGACCGAGTCAGAGTTCTGACTCGGACCGAGTCAATACTCGGAAAAAGTCACTTTTCCACAAGGATTAGGGTTCCTATCTTATAAAAAGGGTATTGGACACCGTCCTCAACCTAAGACAGACGAAAAGAACCCTAAGACAGAGCAAAAACACAGAAGAAATCGTTTCTTTCATAGTTCTAGCTCCCGGGATTAGATCCCACTTCATATACTTCACAGATCCTAGCAGATCGGTTCCAAAAGCGTTTGGAATCCTTCCCGTCGGTGTGGATACGTGTAGAGGGACTATAACTTCAGTCCTAGGTGATTAAACAGGCCCCGGATAGACTCCTACTTCCGTTTCTTCAGGAAATAGGTAAGTACTCGATTCCCACGGTGATATACACGGTCTGTTCGAGTTTTGCAGGTTTGGTTGCGTGTGACGTTTGGCTAGGTTTAGATCTTTTTCTTCCGCTGCATGAAACCTAGAAACCAAACCCTAGATCGATGAGATCGCATGCTAGGAACCCGTAGTGAAACCCAACAGTTGTGAATTGAGATATTCCGTGAAGAGAAAGAAAGGGTCGGAGAGCAATATACTCACCACCGTTGTCCGAATATAAAGATACTATTTTGGACTGAAATATGTTCTCAACTAGGGCTTTGAAACTTTTGATTATAGAGAAGACATCAGATTTGCGTTTTAAGGGATACAGCCATGTATATCTGCTGAAATGGTCTATAAAGACAACATAGTATCGAAAACCATCGAAGGAGAGAACAGGGGAAGACCACACATCTGAGAACACGATTTATAGTGGTCGATTAGAAGAGATTGTAGAGACTGAGAATTGTAACCGGTGGCTTTTATTGATTGAGCAAGAGTGACAGGGCAACAATCGACTCGAGGATGACAATGGAAGACTGAATTTAGAAATAACTTGAGACAGGACTTCGGAAGAAGGATGGCCGAGTCTAGAGTGCCAATCCGAAACTGATGTTTTGACACTGGACATAGCCTAACACGAAGAAGTTTTGGAAGTAGAGGAAGGAGATGAGATAGGCCATTCGTACACGCCTTGATTAAGCTTTCCGGTTGCTAGCTTTGCCCCCGTGGCTAAGTCCTTCACCTGAAAATTTTTAGCGAAAAATTCAACAGATACTTGGTTAGAGTTGCATAGCTGAGAGATAGAGATAAGGTTTTTCTTCATGACTGGAACACATAGGGTTTGATTTAGAGATAGTGGGCGAGATGAAGAGGGTAGAAAAGCTGAACCGGTATGTGTTATCTCTAGGCCTGATCAATCTCCAATGACAACTTCATCATTGCCAGAGTACGGCGTGTGGAAGGACAGATTAGCCAGATCTGTGGTGACGTGATGCGATGCTCCAGAGTCGAGTAACCACGGTTGAGACGTTGAGGTAGAGAAGCTGGCTGGATTTGCAGATGGTTGCCCGCTTGATTGTCCAGGCATGGGAAATGAGTTTTGCTGAGGAAAACTCTGTCCTTGTTTGAGTAAACGGCAGAATTTTGCACTGTGACCGTGTATTCCGCAGAGCTGGCATTTGCCTTGGTATCCACAACCTTGGTTGGTCTGAGGCCTTGGAGATCGATGGTCCATCGGAGGTCTAAAGTACGCTTCGCCAGGGGCCCTTGGGGCGCTGTTGAGTGGCATTAATTAGCGGTGATCGGGGTCTCACTACAAGAAAATCTTAATATAGCGACGAAATTTGCGACAGACTTTTTTCGTCGCAAAGAAATTACGACAGAATTCGACGAATTTGCGACGGAATGCGAAAATTTTTATTCCGTCGCAATTAGTCGCAAAATCCGTCGCAAATTTGCGATGGAATACGACGGAAACGTTGTCATCGCAGAACAAAACATTATTTGCGACAGAAATTTTAAAATTGCGGATTTGCGACAATTTTATGACAGAAATTTCTATCGCAAATATTAATTTTATTTATTTTTAAATTTATGTTATTTATTTTTGGAATTTTGCGACAGATTTGCGACAGAAATTTCTGTCGCAAATCATAATTTTATTTTATTTTATTTTCGATAAAAAATTTCAAATTTTTGCGTTTTCTTTTTTGTTTTGCGACAGAAATTTCAGTCGCAAATCTAAATTTTATTTTTTTCCGTTATTTTCGATGAAAAATTTTAAATTTTCGCGGTTTATTTTTCGTTTTGCGACGGGTTGCGACTGCAATATCCGTCGCAATACTTAATAAAAGCTGTGACTTCGTCTTTCTCCCCCAGACTTCAAATTTTTTTTTAAAAATCTCAATCTTCTCCAATCTTCTCCAACAAATTGTTTTTCTTCAAAATTCACCAAGTTATGTGTATATATATCGTGTATATGGATTTGTATATGTATGTGTTGTGTATATATATATATGTGAATGTGAATATGTTATGTGTATGTGTGTATGTATATGTGTATGCGAATGTGTATGTGTTTATGTATGTATATGTGTATGTGTGTGTGTTTATGTATGTGTGTTGTGTATGTATGTGAATGTGAATATGAATGTGTATGCATATATATAAATGTTTATGTGTGTTTATGTGATGTGTATGTGAATATATATATATATATATGTATGTGTATGTGTATATGTGAATATGTATGAATGTGTGTTTATGTATGTGTGTAATGTATATGTATATGTGTATGTAAATTTTGTGTATGAATGTGTGTTTATGTATGTGTGTGTATATGTATATATGTGTATATGTAAATGTATGTATATGAATATATGTATGTATATGAATATATGTGTATGTATATATATATATATGTATATAAATTTATGTGTATATGTATAATTATGTGCATATGTGTAATATATATGTATGTGTATGTAAATTTATGTGTGTATATATGTGTATGAATGTGTGTTTATGTATGTGTATATGTGTATGTATATATATGTCTATATGTAAATGTATATGTGTATGTGTATATATATAAATTTATGTGTATATGTGTAATATATGCGTATATGTGTATGTGAATATATATATATATGTGTATATGTATAATATATTTTTTATATTTTTTTAAATTAAAAAAAATATTTGCGACGGATTTTTCTGTCGCAAATCCGTAGTAAACGTAGATTTTTTTTGTTTTTTTAAATATTAAAAAAGATATTTGCGACAGATTTTTCTGTCGCAATTCTGTCGCAAAACTCGGATTTTGTCCGTCGCAACTTTGCGACAAATTAACGACCGACAAACTTTTGCGACAACAATATACGGACAGAAATGATTCTGTCGCAATCTGTCGCAAATTTGTAATTGCGACAGATATTCTTTTGTATTTGCGACAGATTTTTCTGTCGCAAATTTTGATGTTTCTTGTAGTGTCTCTGTGAGAATGGGTGTGTCTGACATCAGATCGACTTCGTGACTAAGCAGCTTCTCATGAAACTCAATGAAGGAGATAGATGTGTCCTTTGCTTGGATGATGTCTTTGACAGGTTTATAGTTATCATCGAGGCCAGCCAGAATCATGTCAAGGAGATCTTCATGATCCATGGGTTTGCCTAGAAGTGCCAGTTCATCTGATTTAATTTTGAAGAAGTGCATATAATCGTTGATCGATTTTGGACCTTTGGTGAAGCGCTTCATTTGTTCCTTGATCTGTTTCAGGTGTCCCCTGCTGCTTCGGCCATAGGTGTTAGCTAGACTAGTCCAGGTAGCAGCAGATGACGGAGCAGAAGCGACTAAGGCTTGACAGGAACTCGATATGGAGCCAAGGAGAGCCGAAAATATCAATCTGTCTTGGCGAAACCAGATTTGATATTCAGGATTAGGAACCACCAGGTTGTTGACGATGACAGTTGCAGCCGGAACTTGAGCGGGATCGAGAAACCGATCCAGATTATAGCCCTGAAGCAGAGCTTTGATCTGCACACTCCATGTGATGTAATTTGTCGCTGTGAGTTTCGTGACATTGGAAACATTGACGTTTATTAACGTCGAGATAGGGTTCACAGGATCATATGCGGTGATAGTGTCTGTCGGAAGACCAGCAGGAGCAGAAGTGTTGCTCGTGGCTGGGTTGCTGGTTTCAGGGGTTATAGAAGACATGGTAGCAGAAAAGAAACAGAGAGAAACGACTGTTTATAGAGGAGACAAAAGAGTTTCAATGGAGAAGAACGTCGAAGGACGATTTTGCAGCTCTGATACCATATAAAGTAAGTAGAGATTGAGAAGAATTGTATCGATTGTTATTCATGGGTTTCAAAATATATACAGAATACAGTTGCTATATATTAGAAAACAGAATGTCATGAGAATCATTCTTAGTATCTGTCACGTTGACTAAGAGATTTTGCTCCTATGATGTAGCTCTATCTATCCGTCTAGGTAGTTTTTTTTTCCAGTTGATTTTATTGATAGACAATAATTTTTTTCATGTTAAAATTTCGGTAACATCTATGAGATTTTTTATTTTAAAAAAGAATTTCAAAGTTAAAACCCTAGGAGTGCAATTATGGTATTCGCATATGTTATTTATAACGATATTGTTTGGGCAATTTGAATCCGGGGGAAGTAAAAGTTATAACCCTAAAAGTTATAATCCTAAGAGTGCAATTATGGTATTCGTACATTCAAATTTACGAAGATTTTAAGTATTATTTTATTTATCTTTTAATAAAGATATACTATTTGTGTTGATTTTTAGTTGGTTTACGCAATTTTTAAAAGTTTTGAACTCATAATTCATACTTCTTAACGTATTTAAATATTAATTTATGTTTTACTAAATTACAGTATAATTTATTTATTTATTTTATATCTAAACTTTCTAGAATGATCTTGATATTAATTAACCATTTTAGATGACAACTACTAATTTGTCATCTTATTTAAATATTGTAGTCATTTTAGATTATAAAATATTAAATTATTATATCTCACTGATATCTAACATTTGTATGGACATTAAAAAATATCCACTTTTTAGTATAGTTTGTAACCTTTATGTGTTTGCTAAAAATATTGTGTTTTTTTATGTGATGTAAATCTTAAAAAAATGAACCAATATAATGTTTTCTATAAAAAAGATTGAGTTCGAGGAAATATCAAATGGAAAGATCAATTTCCAAGCTCATGTTGTCATAATTTTATTTTATATATATACTGATCATATATATCTGTATATATACTGATCAAATCATTTTGCGTTCGACCATTAAAATATAGATACGAGCATATGAAATAATGTGACATTTAAAAAACATATTAGGGTTTAGATGAAACGTACGCACCAATGAGCAAAAGCCATGGGGTTCGCCCCCGGGTCAGGTGGTAGTGAGCATGGGGAGCATTCATGAGGTGGGGAGTTCGATTCCTCGCCGTCTCACTTCCTCTGACCTACTCGTCTGCCAGCCTGTCATAACGGGCCGATTTACCTCCTACGCGTGTGTTGCAGGCTCGTGCGCGTGGGTTTGGGGTTTGACCCGTAGGCGCCTAAGCCCAACTACGGCCCGAGCGTTAGGCGCACCTGGTGGCCAGGTCCGGCGGACTGAGGTCCATGGAGACTGTTAGGCGCGGGTGGTGGCCAGTTCGTCTCCGTTTGTAAGGGTAGGTAGTTACGGGGTTCCCCAATGTATCAAAAAAAATGAGCAAAAGCCATGCATGCATGCATGTGGATTATAATATTAGGGTTTTCATTACCTAAATGCAAACCCTTTTGGGACCACTTAGCTACAAAATATATTTTTTTTTATAATCCGGAAGTTCACCGGTTCTTTTGGCCCAATTACATCTCCTATAAGATTGGAGAAGTCCATGTGAATACCTCTTCCCACGCTTGGATTTGAACCCAGGATGAGAGCATGATTTACATGTTTTGTCACCAGACACCCAAACTTGGTAGCTACAAAAGAGGTTGATAATATAATCAAATTAAAGGCATATTTTATTATGGATCTAGCGAAGAGAATATGAACAGAAACAGCATTGAGTAGTGAGAACCGTCCAATAAATTTTATTATAATAAAATTATTAAAATAAAAAACTTTGTTTTAATTTAGTTTATGTTTGGATTGATCGAGAAGGTGTCGCTTTTAATGACTCGGCCCTCGTGCTCTTATCTTCTCTTCCCATCTCTTTACTTCTTTTAGAACGTTAAAATATGTTTTAATACAGAAAGAAATGAAAGGAGTAAAAGTATTTTATTAGGGGTATATACAATTAAACTAATAATATTTAGTTTTACTTTGAGTGGATGTGTTATACAAGTTGAGCCATACAATTTTTTAAATTAAATTCAATGGAATTAATAATATAAAATTAGAACCGAAATTAATTCTATTATATCTTTTTATTTTTCTCTTTTTTATTTTGTGTTATCCATTTAAATACGAAACCCTCAAGAATCGGAAAAGCGTATATTCTCACTCAACCGTGAATGAACCCACTAAATATTTTTGTGTAATTACTTGCAGTGAACGTTATTACTAAATATGGTTTGGATTCGATGCATGATTTGTTCTCTTCTCGGTCTTGCTAATCCTTATCAAACGCTTCCCCGAGTCGATCTTTCGGGTTTCCATAATATTTAGTTTCATTATTTTCTTTTAGTAGTTTTTCGGTTTTGTTAAAACCTCATGTGTATATATATCTAATACCACCTATTCAATTTTTATATTGGTTTTTAATTCGCTTTTTCTTTTTAATATTCAGATCTAATTTGATTTTCAATAGGAAAAACATTAATTTTTCGGTCAATGAGGTTTAAAGTTCTTCAGGACGGGTTATGAACGAGGTCCGGCGAGCGAAAACACGAGTTTTCCTACCAGCACGAATGAAAAACAACGAATATCACGACAGGCGGGATGCAAGGTTCGAGTCCTAGAGACAACCTCTTACAGGATAGCATGTAAGATAAGGTTTGCCTACAATACACTTTTATGGTGGGACCCTTTCCCGAATCCCACTCAACAGGATGCTTACCGGGCTACCCTTTATCGAGACAGATGTTAGAACGGCAGGGCAACGACATCGTATGTTGCAGAAACTGGAATTCAAGAGGCAATATATCTAAAATACCTCTCCTCCCCTACAACCACTTCTACTCCTACCCTCCAAACAAAAAATTAAAAAAAAAATTGTGTTCACACTACAAAAGACAAATATAACCCCAAATAAAAATATAAAGACTCAATTATCCTTCATTTAATATAATATTTTATTAATATTTTTCCTTTCTTTTAATTCCATTGCATCTTCTTCCGCTTTCTTTTTAATATTTTTATTTTAACTTTAATATTTATATTTTTTAACTCTCTTCTCCATTTTTATTTTATTATTTTTTCCTTCATATTTATTAATTTATTAATATTTTATTTATGAATATTTTATTTAGGGGTTTATAGATGAAATATACCAATTTTATCAAAAGTACTCATAAAACATTATGAAACATATAGAAATACATTTGGAAGAATAACATTGAAACACAAAAATCGTAAAAACCATATTTTAGTTTTTGAAATAATATAGAATAGACTTATGAGGGATATGTAACATTATAGAGTGATTAAATTAACAAAAATCGCATGAATCGAAGGTTGTGACCGGTTGTGACCGACTGTGACCCATTGTGACCGAAATATGTTGTGGGGTCCACACGGAGAACTAGTCAGAATTTCACCAGCTTTTCATGTTTCGTGGGGCCCACAATCATTATTTATATTTTGCTTTTAATGTGGGGCCCAATTTGAATATTCAACTCTATATAATTTCTCTTTTAACCCTATATTTTTTTCCTCTCAATTTTTAACCTCAAATTTTCACCTACAACATTTTCAAACCAAAATGTTGTGTATGAGGAAATTACAAAACATTGTGAGATGTATTTTGTAGCACATGGAAGAGACGATGTATGAACTTCATACTCGCATTATAAAGTATCACATGATCTATATAGGATACAACTACTTTGCGTGTGATACCATGTTCATAGAGATGATCAACGCATGACTAGAATTAGGAGACATAACAACAAAGATTTTCGAAGACGAAAGCGTAAACTTTTAATTTATTTATCATATGTCTACTTTTGTACTATTTTTAACATTAAAATATTATTTATGCGATTTTTTTGTTTCAAAGTAATCATTATAAATGCTTTCCATTATGTTTTATAGTGTTTTATGAGTATTTTGAACAAATTTGGTGTCTTTGTTTAATAAACATCTCACAATGTTTTGTAATTTCCTCATACACAACATTTTGGTTTGAAAATGTTGTAGGTGAAAATTTGAGGTTAAAAATTGAGAGGAAAAACAAATATATAACGTATGAGAAAATTTTCAAAATAATTTAAGGGGTTTATAGATGAAATATACCAATTTTATCAAAAGTACTCATAAAACATTATGAAACATATAGAAATACATTTGGAAGAATAACATTGAAACACAAAAATCGTAAAAACCATATTTTAGTTTTTGAAATAATATAGAATAGACTTATGAGGGATATGTAACATTATAGAGTGATTAAATTAACAAAAATCGCATGAATCGAAGGTTGTGACCGGTTGTGACCGACTGTGACCCATTGTGACCGAAATATGTTGTGGGGTCCACACGGAGAACTAGTCAGAATTTCACCAGCTTTTCATGTTTCGTGGGGCCCACAATCATTATTTATATTTTGCTTTTAATGTGGGGCCCAATTTGAATATTCAACTCTATATAATTTCTCTTTTAACCCTATATTTTTTTCCTCTCAATTTTTAACCTCAAATTTTCACCTACAACATTTTCAAACCAAAATGTTGTGTATGAGGAAATTACAAAACATTGTGAGATGTTTATTAAACAAAGACACCAAATTTGTTCAAAATACTCATAAAACACTATAAAACATAATGGAAAGCATTTATAATGATTACTTTGAAACAAAAAAATCGCATAAATAATATTTTAATGTTAAAAATAGTACAAAAGTAGACATATGATAAATAAATTAAAAGTTTACGCTTTCGTCTTCGAAAATCTTTGTTGTTATGTCTCCTAATTCTAGTCATGCGTTGATCATCTCTATGAACATGGTATCACACGCAAAGTAGTTGCATCCTATATAGATCATGTGATACTTTATAATGCGAGTATGAAGTTCATACATCGTCTCTTTGTGGTGTATTTGTATTATAATGTATTACAAAACATTTGTACAATAATGTCAAAGAGTCTTGATTAATGATGTTGTAATATATTTGTACAATATAGTATTATAACTTTTATATAATATTGTGTTTGTACCATAATAATATTGTATTATTGAAGATGAATTTTCACATATATTTGACTCTATTACACACTAAATAAATGAACTCACATAAGCCAACGTTGTGACCCATTGTGACCGGCATGTGACCATGTGACCGAAGTGCAATTTTACACTGTGTGACCATTGTGACCGATTGTGACCCGTGACCGAAATGTGTTGATAAATATAGGTCAAATTTTAATTTTTAAACTTCGTGGTGGTTTATGATAGTCTATATATCAAATATATAACGTATGAGAAAATTTTCAAAATAATTTAAGGGGTTTATAGATGAAATATACCAATTTTATCAAAAGTACTCATAAAACATTATGAAACATATATATAACAATGTATAAACCATATTTATACTTAAAAACCATATTTATACTTATATTTCTTTGGTGATTGAGTCATAGGTCATAATGGACAACAATGGTCACATAGTATAAAATTACAATAAAATCATATTTGATGATATTAAAATTCAAAGACATTATTGAAGATAGAGATTAACGGTGATTATATCGCATATATGATACGTCTAATTATTTATGATATTTGGTACTATATGTCTCGGATTACAAAGACATAGTTCGCATGAGCATACCGATCATGAGGTGATATGGATCATAAGATCATATGGGTCACATGGTTATATGGTCACAAGGTCACAAGGTCACATGGTCACAATATTACACGTGTCGAGAATAGAGAGAATCAGAAAAAATAAAAATAAAATGAGGAGAGAGAAAATATGAAAAATAATAAATAAAAAACATTAATGAAGAGAGAGAAATCGGTGAGGAAAGAGAAAATGATAAAAAAAATTATATTAATTAAAATATTAAAGGGTAAAATGGGAAATATGCATTTAGAAGGGTATTTTAGAAGTTGGAATTTTTTTAAAAAAAGTGGAGGGTAGACCTAGAAGTAGTTTTAGCACATTTGGGGTATTTTGGATAATCCCCCAATTCAAGATATCTGATCTAAAATACTGATTTGATGTACAGATATGGTTATCTATACATATGGTGGGAAGAAGTATATATAAGATGATACTATTTTCTTTGATATTTTAGATTAGATTCATGTAACTACAATTCTAATGATCACCTGAGAAACTAGAATTATCACCCCCCGCGACACAAACCAAAGTTTTGCGTCCGTGAATCACAGCTCCAGCATTCGAGTTATTAGCATCAGCAGCAGCATCAGTATCGGCATCACCATCGCCCTAGCATCAAGCATTATCCAAAAACTCGCCTCATATGAGTGAAACCAGTGTGACACTGAAGGAAATTACTAGGCTTTTACCTGTTTTACGATCAGCGATTGATTATCATCAAACTTCTTGGAGAGATCCCTCATCGTACCCTACAGGATTGAACAATGTTTTGATCGATGAATACGTTGATTACTGAGGTGTCAATCTATGCGTAATATAAAATTCATGTTTGTATATAGAAAAATACATACCTTGTAGGACCAAAAGAGTCCACAGGCATTGCAAAGAGTCCTGGGGCCTAATGGGCCGCGTCGCATCATTGGCGTGCACTTGGAGCTAATGCCACAATGAGTACACCTACATAAGATAGAGATTTACACTTCTTATAATAAGATTAACATAATCATCGCACATTCCTTAGCAAATATGAAAAATGCGGCAGTTAAAAGGTGGATACAGAACTCACGAAATATTTGGATGGCCATCATCGTTTTGTGTAGATTCTTGATCCGTGCCCGAGCTATAGGTGCTATCAGGCTTCTTAGAGGAGGAAAATTGGCCTTTGTTACGTGGCATTCTGGTACATGTGTGAAGAGGGCAAACAAGTATAAAAGGATGCGAAATCTAATCTTGCACATGAAACATAAATGTAGATCGATTACAACATGCAGACCGGGAAATCAAGTTAAGCCAATTAACTTACCCGCTACCAAGATTAAGGTCTGACCTATTCAACTACAAAAATGATTAGATAGATTAAAAGATACCATGAAAAATGAAAACCTCCACACGTAAATCACTGAGCGTATATGGTACCAAAACCGTCTAAAAAGATATATGAAAATAAACTAGTTATTCGTTGTAATGGGTTTAGCTGAATATGAAAATTCTTCTGTGAACCTTGCACCCGGGAAAAAAAAAGATTGCTAGTTTAAAAGGAAACTTTAGCTCATTGGCCACAGAAATTGTGAAAGCAGAAATCGCCAGCATCCTCAAAGGAGTAATCACCTAGCATACAAACTACAAGTATGCAGAAAAATCTCGGCAAGAACGTGCCACAAAATCAGCTTCCTTGACACATATGCATATCACTCAAAGCTTTCCAGGTTTATGCCGCGACCTTTTGAACTAGAAATCTAATATGAATTTCAAATTGTAGAGAAACCAGACTAATCCGAAACCATACGACAACGATCAGACAAACTGAACCAAAGCATATAAAATAGAAATTCCCCTGACCTTAAGGCAACTTCCTGGCGGACACCGTATCTTACTTTCTTCTCGAAACATCTCGCATCCCTCTTCTTCCGGAATCTATCCAAGGACTGTGCCCTTTGTGGGAGGCTACATTGGTTTTGATATTCAAGAACAGGCTGAAAATAAAATCACAGTACCAATGTCGATTGGAGACCAAACGCCATAAAAATACTAAATAACCCATCAGTAGACTAAACTACGGCACCCAACCCATTCATACTGACAACCAGATTACCAAATTCTGCTGAGGTGTTTCCATGCCCTGCGGTCCTGGAGATAGCTCCGGACACCCTCCCAGTAACGACAAGACTGTGTCGACCTAAGGGTTCACGCTTTGCATTAGACAAATCCCATACTTGTCGTTGAATTTGAATTCGGAATACGAACGTATAAGTCGAAATACCTTATCAGGTCCAACAGCGTCGAAAACGTAAACCTGGCCACGGAACGAGAGTGTGAGCTGATTCGGCCCCTCCGGTTGCCGAGAAACCATCAAATCGGAGCTCTCGGAGCGATGAGGAACCAACTCAGAGCCATGGGGAACCAGTTCGGGGACACCGCCGTGAACATACATGGAGTCATGGCGCGGGATTTCGTCCATGGAGACACCTCCGTCGTAGGTAATGTGACGGGACGTCGCGGCGGAGCCGAAGCCATCGTCTTCCCCGGCTGAGGCAGAAGCACCGGCGCCGGTGGAACCAATCTGGTTGGCGTTGTTCATCGCCTGCGGATGAGGACCGTACATCGGAGAGTAGAACCTCAGTTCAATTCGCTTCGCATTGATCGAACAAAAACGAGGGCACACACAAAAAAAAAAACAAAGGCTAACCCTAATCCTAATTCCGAAGCACTGTGCAGAAAAAGAGAGACTTTCCTCGAGAAAAGAGATTTCTTCGAAGCGAGGCACAGAGAGGAAAAGGAGAGGAGCGAGAGAGGGAGGGGTCGTCGTCGTGGGGAAGACGAGCAAGGGTAAAATAGTAAATTCACGCGGGGTGAAGAAAGCACTACCCTATTCACTGTTCGGTTTAATTGGACCCACTTCTAACAAGGCTCATATCGGCCCATTAAGGACTATTGGGCTAGTTTTCACGAAAATAACATTTGTTATAGTAAAAAAAAAAAAAGATTTATAATCATAATCCAAATGAATGTTTCGAAACCTTCTTTGTGAGTCTTTTTTTTGTTCATTCCTTTCTAACTCTTGCACGCTTTTCCAACCTATCCAGCTGGTGAAAAGCCAATACAACCAGGTCGGTGATGGTTCCATCTAGTGGTTAACAAAATCTCCTAATAAACCACATGAAAGTAAAATAATGGTAAACCATAACCAATACAACAATTATGGGTTTTCACTCCATATAATGTATGTCAGAGCTTGCCAAACAAGAATCGCTATATGTTTAAAAATAAAATTCTTCCACCTAGAAAATAAAATCAAAAATCCAAAACCTTTGATTTTAGATTTAAGAATATAGACACGACTTTCGAGTCGAGTCTAAATTGGACCCAGGTTTTATCGGACTAAGCTCAACAAATTTTGGGTTAACCTCAAATCCGATTCATTTTTTTTAAAAAAAAATAAATTAAAAAATATATAAAAATATGATATTTTTTATATATTAAGCGGACCAACTCAATTCAGTCCAAATATGATTTGAACTCCAATTCTATAGGATCAAACTTTGAATTTAGTTTATTAGACATGAAAAAATTTAGACCGGACCGATTGACTCCCTAATAGATTTAATTCCAAGAAAAAATTAATTTCTTTATTTCCAATTCATCATAGTAAGTGGCTTCATTCCGTCTTAGAATATAAATTGGATAGGGGGTTATCATAATCATACTCATGGAGGAACAAATACCATACTTTGTTGAGGAGATTAAGGTAAAGATAGACGTTTAATGTCTCTTTTCAAATCCTTGGGAAATTTAGTAGCATATTTACATGTTATGTGATGATTACAAGTTTGATTATAGAAAGAGAACAAACAATAACAAAATTTTTAAAATAACTTCGAATTTAAATTTATTTATCTTATTCATTTGATTATCAAATGAGATTTAGATTAAGTATTTATAATTTTTTATTAGCCTTACACATCAATTCATTTTTCATTTCTGGACTCGGACCTATTTCATCGCATCTCCGAGAATCGACGGCCCAGAAGTCCGGAGTTCACCTATGACACAAGACCGCGAAACACCTGATTATAAACCCGCCCGACAGGATAAAAGTTACGACAAGTTGACATATGATATAAATATTCCCTTTTCATGGGAAGAAGAAAAAGAGAGAAAAAAATCGAAACAAAAACATTGAAAATAAATAATTCCAAATTGAGTTTCTTCGAGGAACTTCGACTTCTCTTCCCCGCAAATCTAAGCTATATTTAGCGCATCTCTTTCTTCTGTTCAAAATTCGTGATTAATTTTATCCATTTCTGGAGCTTCTTCGAGTTCAGCTAATAATTACGGGAATTTAGGTGTTAGGGTTTCGGGAGGAGAATTCGAGGACGGATTCACTGCGTGATTGATGAAACGGGTCCGTTACGGGCGGAGAGTGTGTTGATTGTCCGGGGATAACTTGTCGTCGGTCAATGGCGGCAATTCTTCCGATTCAGATAGTGGAGGACGAGGGCGAGTACGACGGCGGTGGGAGTGATGATCTGATGGACGATGTGGAGGAGATGAAGGTGAACTCTGTAAGTGATGTAGGTGTCTCCATGGGGTCTTCTTCGAGGACCAGTGAGCTAACTCTCTCGTTTGAAGGAGAGGTCTATGTTTTTCCTGCTGTTACACCAGAGAAGGTAAAGTCTTGTGGTTTCTTTTCGACACTTCAGCTTGGAATTTTCGTTTTTTTTTTTTATTTCCAAAATTTGGATTCTAGTTCATGGGTTTCTGCTTAGAGCTACTGTTTGTGCTATTGAATGTTCAAGTACTGTTTAGCGGCTGTCAAAGTTTTCTGTATTTGGGGAAGTCCTTATGGTGTTTCTTGTGCTGGACGCAATGTTTTGGTTACCGTGATTATGATAATGTATGAACTTGGCGTCCCTCTTGTTTGATCTGGATAAGTTTAGAAAAGATTTTTTCCTGGCTTAAGTTTATGACATAGTTTCATTAAGTTCTGCGCTGATTCCACTAAGCAGAATAGTTGGGCGAGTAAGTGAGGGGAAGGTCCTGAGATGACAAAGCTGGATCGATTTTTTTTTTGCTTTGATTGGATATACGAGTCATGGCAGGTGGTTACAACGACAGCTGAGTCTGATATTGGATCTGTTTGCTCATTAAGAATGTGTTGTACAGGTTCAAAGTTCTTCTTAATGATTGCGGTATTCTTGGTTGGTCTGTTTGCCTCAGGTGCAAGCAGTTCTTCTGCTCTTGGGAGGGCGTGATATACCTACAGCTGTTCCAACAGTCGAACTTCCTTTTGAAAATAACAGGGTAATTTATTGAAGTTTTATGGTCAAATATATGGATTCTTTGCTCCTGTTTATATGTTTCACTTGCTATCTTTTCCAGGGTTTGTGTGTGGGAGATAATCCGAGACGCTCAAATTTGTCAAGACGATTAGCTTCTCTAGTTAGGTTCCGTGAGAAGCGTAAGGAGAGATGTTTTGACAAGAGAATTAGATATACAGTGCGAAAAGAAGTTGCACAGAGGTATAGGAGTCTCTTGCTAATTTGTTTTAGGGTTCGATTTGGGTAGCTTGTTTTCCTTTCCCATCCAGTTCTGGCAAACAGATTGATGCTGTAGGGTAATTTTGTTATGCAGGATGCACCGTAAAAATGGACAATTTGCATCAGTTAAAGAAAGTTCAGGTGGTTCAAACTGGGAATCTGCCCAGAGTGACCTTCAAGATGGCACCACCCGCTCAGAAACTCTGTGAGTTTGGCTTCCAGAATTTTCAGGTTCTCCTATGCTATTGTCAGTTTTGAATGAGGCTCTAAGTTCACTTGCTGATGGGTTGTCTTTTCTATTTTCTTTCCATTTGGGGTTCATCTCGATATCATTCAGCATTAGGAGATGTCAGCACTGTGGTGTTAGTGAAAATAATACTCCTGCAATGCGCCGTGGGCCAGCTGGACCTAGGACTTTATGTAATGCCTGTGGTCTGATGTGGGCCAACAAGGTCCTTTCTTGCTCTGCTTTTCTTTATCTTCTTGTTTATCTCTCTGGGTTTGTTTCTTTCAGCCATTTTCTCTATTATCGAACTTGCTTCATGTGTTGATGGCACAGAGGGAGGTTAACTGTCATAAGCTTCTGAAATCTTGCATACTTTATAAACTAAGAAGTCTTGCCAAGAACTTTGGGCTATGAACAATTTATGAGAGAAATTCTTTGTACAGGGATTTTCCTCGCTTTATGCCATAAAAGGTTGAAAGCTGGCCTACTTTGATTCCTTGCCTGTGGACATCTTTTGCTTATTTTCTCCATGTACAAAGCCTTTTCTTGTTTGGGAAATCTTCTTCCCTTTTAGTATCATATCGAATATATTTGTTTCTTTGCTAGAGCTCATCTGAAATAAATTATTATGTTTAAGTTGGTCCCGACGAGTTTGGATTTTTTCTTTTGTGGAGTTAACCTCAACTATTTGTAGTGTTTTTACTGTCTTAATAAGTTTATATTTTGGCTTCTTTGATTTTTTGTGCATTCTCTTCGTGAGCGGCTTCTTGAATGTTCAGGGAATGTTGAGAGATCTCAGTAAAGGAGCCAGGACTTCTATTGACCAGACTGAACCTGTATGTAACATTCTAGATTGAGGATTAATTTCTAATATTTTGAGGCACCGATTTTGAAGCACTTTCCTTTTATCATGTTATTACTTCTATTTTGTTATCTGTCCAACTAATTATCATGATGACTTTCAGGAAACACTGTTAGATATCAAACCATCAATTATGGGAGAAGACTCTGGCAATCCAGAGGAGCTTGTAAGTTGTCCTGCCATGTCCTTCAAGACTTATTGTGTTTGCAAAATCTATATCCAATCTAAGACCCTCATTTTTGTTTTCAGCAAATACCAATTGATCCGGCTAACGCAATAGTTGAAGTTCCCACTGATGCTGATGGTAATCCAGATGGGAAGGTGTGTAAGATGGACTTAAAAAGACTTGTTGGACATTTATTCCTTTTTCTTTCTTTCTTTAGAACTATGTCCTTGCCTTATTTTTGCAGGATTTGCAAGAAGCAGCTGGTATGTCTAACTCTATGCCAGTTGGAATAGTATCCTCATCGGCTGATGATGATGAAACGGTGAGCCCTGAAACTCGTATAAGAAAGCCATGCACCATTTTTCGATAGTCCTATATAGAAGCATATATACCCCTGAAAACATAGGATGTAGAAGTGTAAGTTGTTTGGTTTAAGTTTCACCTTGATGGCCTTTTATCTTCTTGCGTGAAGCAGAGTAACGTTCGGTTTTAGGGAATGCAGGAACAACTTGCAGAGCTAGTCAATCCATCAGATACGGATCTTGACATGCCTTCGAGCTTCGGTTAGATTGACACATGGTTTAATGCTGACCGTTGGGAGCCCAGGTTCCGGTCTATAAACGGGGAGAACATTTGATATTCTCAAGAAGTGCATTTGTTCTTTGGTAAAAAGCTTGTGATCTTTCTTTGTGTAGAAATCTGGGGAAGAGAAGGGATTGTTTCTAGTTTGCACGAGCAGTTTGAGGATATCAGTCAAAAGTGTTGTTAGAAGAATGATTTACCCTCAAGGTCTGTTTCTTGATTTCTATGCAAATGCGTCTGAAAAATCTGTAAAACAAAACTTGGCGTCTGTAATATAGGATTGGGTAATAATGTGCAAATCTTTGGAGCAATTTACACTTGTTTTACTGTATGGTAAAGGTAAAGAAGAGCTGAGTTGTTGATCATTAACCGGACATAACCGGAAGCCAATCTGACTAAACCAGACATTATAAAAGAAAAATGTCCGACTTGGCTTCTCCTGATCTGGATTGAATAAAATTCCAAGTGAAAACGAAAATTCAAACATAAACAATTAATGAATTTTTTAATAATAACGACCTGAATCCAAAATATAACAAATCTAAACCAAAGGCAAAACCTTTTTTTCTGCTTCCCTTTTCCAATGATGCGCCAGAATTTGGTAAAAACTTGGGAACAAAGCAAGCAACGAAGAACCAATTATACAAGAGAGGAAAAAACATGATTTTAATTTGCCAAGGAAAAGAAAAACAGTCTGTACAAATAACTCTCCCAAACTCATCGTTTTCTTCACTTGCATCCATTCATTAGTACATTGCCCAAAGTTTAAAAGAAAGAAGGGGTGGAAAAACAACCAGATTATGTGTATGTAAAGAGTTATAAAACTGCCAATACAATCTAAAGGCAGCAACTTTTTCCCCTGAGCTCTGTTTTACCCAAACCCGAACCCTTCGTTGGCTTCGTGGATAGCGAGTAGCAGCCTCTCTTGCAGATGCTCCTTAGACGGGTATTCCGGCATATCCAACTGATTGAAACTGCAAAAAAAAAAAAAAAAAAATCGAGCATATTTCCGATGAATCAATAGGTTTCCTTGGTAAATATTTTATATTTCCTCTCACGAGTTTACAAGATAAGATATGTGCTGGTTGGTACCAGGTATGTGCGGATGGCAAGTGATTAACGCTTCCGTATGCCTTGTGGATTTGGAACTTCTGAGAGCCAGAAATTCCTTGAAGAGCGCTGAATCCTTCCAGAGGAACCTGTTTGATTCAGAAGAGTTTGTAGGATAAAAGCCAATTCATCAACACGTCTCTTGACAATATCATTTCAGTACATAAATGACTCAAAAGTTCGTGACCCGCCTACAATGTTCTATTGCCAGTCATCAAACAAGCCATAAATTGTCCGAGTACATTTTACCAATGCAAGGATGTATTTAACAGAGAGAACTTCTAGGTTTATCACCTAAGCATGAATCTTTGTCCGTTAGGCGAAAAAAAGCACAAGGAAAACAGATCGTAAAATGAAAGAGAATAGAAGGATGGCATGTGTTTTACCTTCGAAGTTCCTGTCACAAACTGCAAAAGACGAGCTTTATCTTCTTTGCTGAATCCCTGAACAACCTCCCAGAACCACTGGATGACCGGAGATCCAGGACTGTAACCAGAATATTCCGTATTCGCCCTAAGATCATCCACTGGAATACAAAACATAATCAAGGTTACAAAAAAAAGGGGTTTCCAACTCCAGTTTTTGCTTTTAGACTTGAACATATGCTTGAAAGCTTATAAATGCCTTGACACTCTGGGTCCAGACAAACTTACAGTCTATATCTGGAAGACCACTTATCAATAGCTCCAATTCCTTGTCGTTGAAGATTGATATTAAATCCCTCGGGATCAGTTCGTTAAATCCTTCTAGGAATGCATTTATCTGAGGGCGGATGGCAGTGGTTAATCGATGCTCAACAACTAGGTCAACGTATCTATGCTTGGTTTCTTCAGTGACTTTGATGTTCCGGCCTCCAGGGATCAGTTCATGATCAGTTACCTGCATTGTTTCGAGAAATCGGAAAAACAGAACATTTGAATGTTTCCACGGGAAGAAGATAATCAATACTTGCTTCTGAAGAAAGTGTTGACAGCCCTGACAAGTTACCTCTGTCCTTTCACACAATATCAGCTTTTCCTCATCAGCGTCAATGCTAAAGGTCAGATCCAGGACATCACTTATATCATTCTGCATTTAAAACAACAGATAAGTAACATCAACGAGGTTAGAAATGAAGTTTGCTTCATCAACCAAACACAGTTTCTCAAGATCGTTGAAAAGCGCTACACAGCATAAATACCTCAAGCATCCACTTCAGGTTTTTGTAGTAATCAGGATCTATGGCTTCGATATCATGATAAGTGACCTTGACTCCCAAGATATGCTTGTAAAAAGAACGAGTGAAGTGAACATCGAGGAGTTGCCCGTCAAACAGAGCTTTGCCAACCTGGACAAAGATCAAATTATGAGTTAAAAAGCAAATACAATAGGTTTCAACAACTGTTAGTAAATGAGCCAGAACTTACAACACGGCCAACAAATTTGAAGTAAGAGAGATGTTCTGTCTGGAAAACAGAATTTGGATTTGGCTGGAAGGTTGAGTCATTGCCCACTGTTGTGAACAGAAGAGCATTTTTGTCGAAAATAACCCTGGACAGCAGCTGATACCATTCCCTGGTAAGCCCACCAGCATCAATGCCTTCTTCACCTTGGAAATGAACAGTCAGCCTGCCTTTCAGCTCTTGGGTTGATCTCATTCGCAATTGGTTGTACGAATCTTCAAGAATATAGGCTCTTCTCACAGAGATTCTCAAAGGGCTATGATGGTGATCATGCTGGTGTTTTATCTTTGATCTGAAGTATGCTCGTTTGTTATCAAACTCAACAAAACGAGGAACCTTCAACATGAGCGCGAAAGATTTCTCAAGTAGCCCAGGATTTTGTCGGATAAAAGCATTGAGTAGCCTCCTGTGCTTCTCTGAAAACTTCACAAAGGAGGCATACTTCTCATCTACCTTTGAGCTAGGACCTGGACTCTTTTGCTGGTCTTCAACTTCAGAAACCATAGAAATTCCCAAATCATGACTGGAGCCAGGTAGCGAGGGATGCAACTTCTCACAGGTAACGAAGAATGACTCTATGTATGGCAATATGTTCTGAGCACCTGCAGGAAGCGCCTGGTTTACCCCGCCTGGCTTACTAGTAGAACTTCTAGAGGGAGGTATAATAACTTGTGCTTTATCGGAATGCCCCTCTATTTTGCTTATGCAAATGCTCAATTCCAACCACAAAGGCTCCAAAGCTGAGTTGATATCTGAAAGCTGAGAAAGCACGACAGCATTGTCTTCTGAATTCTGCAGCTGGTGTTTGTCTTTTAGAATCAGCAAACTGATGAGGGAGCTTAGTGCCTGCAAAACCCTTAGAATTGCAGATCCATCCGAAGATGTGGTACTTATCAGGGCTTTCACCGCTCCACCAAACATGCGAAGTTCGTCCATAGCTGATCTTGTCAAATTCTGTATTGCATTTGCAAGCTCAGTAATAAACAGATGACAATGGCTTGGAGCAATTGCCACAAGTTTCTTTAGCACCTCTGCCACGAGTGTGTATGCGTTATCTGACAAACTGAATGAACAAAAATGCAGTCAGATAACAATCAAATACTAACCACAAATTACTACAGTTTTATTAGTGTTAACATTTTAAGAACAATAAAGTTTATGTCATGCATAAAATTAACGAACAGAAAACATTGAAAGTGAAAAGGCTTCTAAGACCGTACCCTTCACGAGCAAGTAATGAACAAAGCAAACAGAGCTCTGAGTGAGGCAAGTTAAGCAACACACTCTGAGCATCACATCCACTCTCCGCTCCAGCAGAAGAACTTCCAGAAGAATCTGGTAGTTTGGTTGATGGACCAGCAGAAGCAGAGGAAATATCACGATTCTCCAAACTATTTTCAGTTTCTGAACCTTGAGGCGTAGATTGTTGCTGGCTGGCAGATCCATCTGATCTGTCAGCCGAAATAAACTTTCTCTCAGCATTGTCGATGATGACCTCCAGTAAGTTAAGAAGCTGGATAAAGTGACAAGTAAAAACATCCATACCCGAGTTAATATCTTCATAAAACATTTAGAAAGAAATGCATAGCCATAATACTGAATAAAAAGGAGTACCTGTTCAAGATGTGCCACACTTCTCAAATACAGGGGTTGGTTTAAGAGGCTCAGAAGCAATGCAAAGGCTATCAATCCTTGTTGATCGTGCTTTCTGTCCATGTAATCGTCACTTACCACAACAGCTTTTCCACGTGCCTTATCCGAGGTTGCTGAATCTTGGAGTGAAGGAAGTGAAAGCCTAGACTGAAGCAGACTCTTGGCCACATACATATGGTTTCGAGCCAGATATGTCAACGTCTCAAGGACACGTCGAGACACTAAAGGAGGTACTCCTGTGAGCACAAGTAAAATGATGTTATAAACAGGCTATATAGAAAGGAAAGTTCAAGAAGCCATAATTTATGAACCAGATATGCATCAGAGACTTCCTATACATCTCATTATTAATATAGTTTCTCGTAAGAATATGGAGCCAAAATCCAGTACAAAACAAAGACTTACCATCAAAATGCTGAGGGCGTGAATATGTTACGTTGTTTTGACAACCATAGAGACGATAAGGTGGTTCAGCAAAACTTGAATAGTTTACAGGTTTCCTTGTATCAAGCATCAGCATATCCATCAAAATCTTGACTAAGGAAAGTCTGGTTTCTCCATGAGCACATAAATTCAGGAGAAGTCTCTGCAGATGACCCTTGTAAAGAGGCTGCAAAACAGGGAATATGAATTGCAATTTTTCCGTGGGGGTTAAATATGTCAGTTATATCGAAGGTACATGGTGTACCTGAACTATGCGAAGCACGCGAATCATTGCCTGGAGTGCTTCTGTGTTAACGAGAGGAGCTCCATCAGTTTCAACAACCTTTACAGCAGACCTACGTGAAGCAACGCCCCCTTCAACTCTATCCAAGCCAGATAAGATGGCCTCGGCTCGCCTGGACGACTCACCTCTCCGACTTCTAGGATACATGCCGAAAAGTGCACGGTTATGGTACCTATGAGCAAACCTTTCACGCAACATGTTTGCTTCCGCAACAAGAGCAGGTGTAAGATTCGCAAGAATAGCATCCGATGATGTTAAAAGCACCTGAAAAAAAATATTAGGTAAAGATACAACTTCAGATGACAGCTATAGGAGTTAAATGCCAATTGTCTAGTACCTCTTCCCGCAACTCAGAAGGAAATGTTGCAATTATTGAGACCGTGTCCATTTCAACAGGCTGGCCTTCAAGTTCCTGAGACTGGTGAATCCTTTGTGCCTGTTGCTGTGCCAGAACCTCAGCTCGGATATCAGGAGGAAGAGCG